TCCTATCAGATGAGAAACGGATGGGGGGAGCAGGTCCTGAGGGAAAAACACAACAATCAAGGGCTATGTGGTTCTCTTGCTGTCCCTCTACAGCTGCAATTTTCAAAGGAACTTGCCTCAGGCACTTTCAAATGATGGTGTCTCAATTCTGTAATCATATTTCAGAGCTTTTTCTTAAAGGGTCTTTTAGGTAAACCTAGTCCGTCAACTACACTTATGGATTCAACTATCATAGCTTCAATAGGACTATATATTTAGCGTTTCACAGAATTCTGGCAGGAAAGCATTGCATGCTAAGTTCCATCAAGCCCACACCAATGCTTATCATTGTCCAGAACCTTTACCCAAATTATGTGCATTATACTACTTTGACAGCTCTTGTCTGTAAAGATATGGATCTGGAAAGAGACTCATCATACTACATTTCAAGTGACCCACCCTAAATCAAGGAAGTCAACAGCTATGTTTGTAAATATCCTCACTGCTGGGTTCAGCAGTAACATCATTCAATCTCTGGTTACTCTTTGGCCATATTACATATCCATCACATTATCTGAAATAAAATCTTTGCTAAGCAAGACACCAAGAATGCAACACTGGAGGACAGTTGGTCAAACCTCTGATGACAAACTAAAGCAAGAGGAGGAGATTGTTGCTCTCCCAAATGTTTTGAACTAACTGCCCAGAGACTGCAGGAGTTGTAGTCCAAAATACCTGGAATCCACCTTTGTGCCTATACTTGATCAAAAGTCTCACGGTCAGCTCAGTATAAAATTTTAGCAGACCAAACCTACAGATATAACAATAATTGTCATTGGCCCTGATTGTTCCTTATGTCATTTACTTTGTTCCTAGCATATTTCTAATCTTCATTTTGCTAACATGTAATGTTCTTACATGTATCTTTCATACTTTCACCAGCTCTACACCCCAGAATCATAAACATACTTCAGATTTGATGTTTAGCTATCCTGACTCCTTATATGCACACACTTTTTGAAGAGAACACCTGCAACTTATGTTGCCAAGCACCTTATTAGATTTGGATATTGATTTTTAAGATTAGCCAAAGAAACTACAGTATTTTATTGTGAATTGCTTAGGGCAGAATAACCTGGATTGGACTGGTCTACTCTCAAATTTACTGTCTTATGAATAAAGTAACTACCAGTGGAACAGGCTGTAATTCTATCCCCACCCCCAGAAATCAACAAGAGAAAGAATAGGGACTGCAACTGGAAGCACAGTTGGTGCAGGGGCAAAAGCTGTCCTGGATATGGGTGAAACCTGTGGAAGGAATCAGGCTTTTGCATCTTCAGCCTTCTCCACTGCTGTTTATTTGTCTCAAAAACAAATTTGTGGGGATGGAAATAGGCAGATTCAAAAGGAAAGGAAAAATAAATAGATCATAATTTGCTTTGGAGGAAGGGCAACATAGAGGATTTCACTTCCTGGTTGGTTACCGGAAGTTAGGAAAATCTGATGTGCTTAGCCCTGATGTGGATTCTGCTTTGCTCACACGCCTCAGGATGTGGGGCCAATTCTGAATGTAAACACTGACCTTGATAACATTCCAATATTGTTAAGTGATCACTTAAGAAACACTTGGCCTCAAAGGCATCAACTTATTACATAGAGACTGCAGACTATCTGCATGGCCTTGCTGACCAAACTGTGTTATTACAGATGTTTAATATGGCTCTGGGAGTGAGTAGGCCGTTTACCAGTGTTAGTAAACATTTCTTTGAGTACATAAAGAGCTCTTTGGGCTATTTAACTGGAAACTAAGGAGAAACTCTGACCCTTGAAATAGGGGATTTCAACAGAGTAGGACTGAGAATTTTGTTAGGAAAGAATCACAAGGAGTGGAATTAAACTGAATCGAACTCTGGGTTATTCTCAGAGATGCACTGAGATGCACTAGTACCCGGTAGTTCTATCCTAGCCTCCAATCTCTCAATTGGCCAGTTCATAGATATCTTCATGGGTGACTGGGTGCTAACTAGACAATCTGGCGGGCATTTGTATGCTTCTGTAATTACAGAAAACAACTCTCTTTCACTTAACAAGGAGGAAACAAGTATATTCTGTGGCTCCTATTCCTCTGGGTGGACTTAAGCCCTTAATGCTCCTGGAAGCTTTTCAGGCTGCACTGTCAAGGACCAAAATGGGTTTGTGAGGCTAGGATAATTGAGCTAAATGCACAGAGCACGTATGCCTAGATGAACAGAATAGATAAGCACCTGAAATGCAGGTTAGTAAGATGGCCACAATTCAGGTTTTGTCCCTACCCTTCCCCCATCCACAGAGCTTTAATTGCTTCTGTAGAAGTGAATGACTATAGTTGGTGTTTGAAGGAAAAGACTGTTCAGGTGAGGTATAAAGCCCGTCTCACCAGACTAATGCTGCTGGGATGAACTTAATGCCAAGCTAACTTTTTCCTTCCCTTGTTAGGTATTTCCCTAGCTCAATGTCTCATGAAGAACACAACAGATAGAGGATATTGCTGGGAATCAGAGAGCATAGCAACATTCAGAACTGCCTCATATAGGAACTGGCTGCTTATCTGTAGTCAGACAATCAAGAGGGAAAACCAGAGCAAAATACTGTTTGTCCTGCAAGGAAGGAACTACTCCTTTCACATTTTTTGTTTTTAAACAGTTATTTCCCTATTATGTAGACCTACAGAGCATTCTCAGCTTAGAAGAAGCAGCTTACTCTGTGCAAGAGTCACGCAACAGATAGCACTTTTCCAATTCTCCTGAGGGCCTGGCATCTCCCATCTTATCCAGCTCCATTACTGTACTGAGCTCAGCTACTTCTGCCCATTTTCCCTGTTGACATTGATAGAAAATAGAGCAATTACCTTTAAATGCCTCTCTCTTAGATCACCCTGATTGCTACATACACAATATTAAGCCCTCAATTGCCCCTGGTCAAAGCTGGCTCAAGCAGGCCTGTCCTTTAGGAATTAAACAATTTTTGTTGCTTGCAAGAGTTTATTATTCTTAAGGTTGTCACTATATTAAATCCTATTAAGGCAGGCTTCCCATGGTGTGGTAAGCCAGAGACCTTCTCTGAGTCTTGCAGCAAGACAGAAACATGGAAAAAGTAGCTGAGGTAAGCTGCCTATTGACTCAGCATTGCTTAGGTGTGTGTGCATGCACACACACACACACACACACGGTGGGGGGTGGGGGGGAACACATGCATATACATACAAAGAAACAATGTTGTGACAGAACTGTTGGCCCTCATAGTTTGCTGTATGCAGAATAGCCTAGTAAACCTGATACCTGTAAACACTGATTTTTAAAAGAAAGCCAGTTTTAAATCTTTATGATTATGGAAATGCATCAGCAAATGCAAGGACACCACCTACAAAATTCTTTTATTAACAATCCCCTACCCCCAAACAGGACAGTAAAGAATCCCAGTGGGCAGAACTTTCTCATTCAGGCTGCTGCAGCTGCTCTCCCTTCCTACTGCAATAGAAGCATGTTGGTGGCAGTCCCTTCCCACAGTCCTCAAATACTTCAGTGAACAACAGAAATTGTCTCTGTACTCTCTATGTTTGTCTTTCTTTTTGTTTCCAGACATGCTTCCAACTGATCATCCTCCTTATTTTTCAATTTATAATATTCTTCCACCATGATCAGATTTAATCCTCATTAAATTCTGCAGAAACTAAAATAGCAGGTTCAGAATACAGCATGTAAATGGATTTAGTTTAGCCTGTAGGTATGATCTTGCATCATACTGCTGTGCTGCAGAATTCCTAAGCACTGAATTTTGGCTTTCTTGGCACAATATTTTATAACAAATGATAAATAATGTCCAGCATTATTTATGTAGCATCAGCAGTATGCTATACTACAGAAAAGTTCCACACTGAAACCAAAGAGTTACACCCCAAGTGAGATGGACAGAGAAGTGCCCCATCAATGAAGCTGAAGAGCACATGTGTAGGCCTGCTGCATCTACGGCAGTTTCACTCTGTCGATTGTATGAACTGGCTCTTGCATTTCTCACTCTTGGCTGTGTGTCAAGGAGAGCTCATCTTGATCAACTTTTCATTTCATACCACATGTATGATTCTCTGATCTTTGGAGGCACATTTTAGCTAATCACTTAGTGTTATATTTTTGCATCAATTAATGCAGCAGGTCAGTTCTGCAATATGGGCAGGGCTCTAGTCAGGTCAAGTTAATGAAGCACCTACTGGCAGAAGGCATCTACTGCCTGCCATGTTTCCTGCTGCCCTGAGTTAATATTTCTCTAGGCAAATAGGTTCCCATTTGTTTCTCTTGGCTAATAAAAACTCTTCCCAGGTGCTCAAGCCCACAGCAACTGTAACGCTAGGCACAGCAGAAGGCCAGCCAGAAAGCTGTGAAAAAACACAGCTGTCAGTGGAAGGCAGACAGTAGAGGGACAACCCAAGAATCACATGCCCACCTTTGAGAACAGGCTTGATGCCAAATAGGGCACTCTTAATTTTCAGAAGTAATTTTGCAAGACCCCTTCAGTATTGTCCTTAGGAGGTGTGAGAAAGTCATAATCCAAGAGCCAGTGAAATGAGAAAACTCAGATATATTTCAGCCATGCTTGCCCTGAAGGAGATCAGACAGGAGGCAAGGAAGTTAGACGAGAGAGAAATGGGGAAGATCTGTTTTTGCAAATACGTTACATTTCAAATATGCCCTTTCTCTTTCCTTTAATGTCAGTGCTAAAGTCTACAAATAATTTCTTGTTTCCTTCTTCCATTCCTGAGACTTTGAAGCTACTAGTGTCTATTGCAGCTCCTCCAGTTCTCCAGTAGAGGCAGCTTTTGTCTAGGCAGCTACTGCTTCTGCTTTTTGATATTCTACTTCACATGAAAATCTTGATTTCAGCTGCTGTCTCCCCGAGAAAAAAAATCCCATTCACCTTAACTTAACGGGAGAGTTCTCAAACGTGGGAATGTGCCTGCATTAATTTCAGTTAAAAAGGGAGGGCCATACCTCCTCCATCATCTGCTGCCTCTGTGCTCTGCTGTCTCAGGCGGTGGCTGGAAGGAATCACAAAGAGAAAACCATCTTACAGGCAAAACTATAAAACAAGATCTTCTTTAGGTAGAAATACAATGAATGGAGTGACAATAACTTACTCTTCAACATCTTGTTCTGCAGCTTTCTTCTTTGATCTGAAAGATAAAAAAGGCCAGTGCTGAAAAAGGTGCCAGATGTCCTCAGAGAAGCAAAGGTCTCAAGCAGCTCTCTTAAGGTGTCCTCTGATGAAGTGAACTGTAGCTCATGAAATTTTCTGTCAGAATAAATATATTACTCAGTACCACAATAAATGTGCCTCAAAATTGCTTCTTGTATTTTCTCAGGGGAAGTACATTTCAATATAATCCTCTGGTAAAAGGGGCACAAGATACAGGTAGTAATTAAAGTATCTAGATAAAACTCTAGGCACAGATTTAATTTACATGCGATTGGCAATACATTCCATGGAAATCTGTCAGCTGAGATTACTAAAGAGGATCAGGAGCTTAGGATTCCCTTGCCTCCAAAGGTCCAACAAGTACCCAAAGTGAGAGCAAATTTTCACATTAAGGAGAACCAGCAACAATAGAAGTATACTGCACCCAGTTTGGAAGATGTGATCCTTTTCTGCAACCCTTTATTTACCCAGGGATTTTAAACTGACTGCATTGATTTTAAGGAAGTAAAATAGTTTTGTTTATCATTGCTGAATTTTAATGTTATGATGCTTTAATTGTTGAATTAATATTGTACTTGCAAATGTGAGTTTCTCCTGTTTGTACACCATCCTGACAGGTGAAGATCTAAAAATAAGGTGGCTCATGTAGCCTCTTTTCAAATTTCCTGTGTAACGTGCAAGATGCAAATCTGCTCATTTCACTGCAGTAGCTTGTGCAAGTTTCACTTACAATTGGCATATCAGGGAGATGCAAAAACTGCTGCATTGCATGTTATACAGGAAGAACAAAGAAAGGATGTACAAGACGTGTGTGTCTGCAGCTGCGGTTGCCTTGTGACATTTGAAGCTGTTCTCTTTCAAAAGCAACATAATACCTTTGCACAGGAAGGGACAAGTATGATAACTGAACAGATGGTCCTCCTAAAAGTATGTTTTGATACATTCTCAATTTTATATGCTAACAATTATTTCAAATATTACTGTTGGCCATGAGCAGAGTAGATTCAAATGAAATTGAATATTTTACAACTTTCAGAATCGAAAGAGATTCAACAAAGTCACACAGAGTACTGGAAAGAACTGCAAAACAAAATAATTTCCATTCTGGGTTTCTTGGCACATTGTTGCCTGTAAATCTGCCCTTGAACAATAGCCCAAACCAGCAGCAATATGAAAGCGTAGAACCTTTGCCCCACAGAGGGAGATTGTGCCAGACTACCAAAGGTACAAAACCTTGAGGTAGGAGACTCTCTTTATTTTCCTTATGCATAAACTCAGAATTTGCTATTTAACCTAGCTCTTTCACCTGACTCTGGAAGAGGCTGGGTCAGATGCCCTGTAGATCAGGAAAAATCGGGATGAATTAACTAATATAAGTTGGAGGGAGAAGGTAGAATATGGTGAGAGGGCAGGCAGCAACTTTCTCGTTCTCCACCCCAGCAAGCCCAGAACTAATTCAGATCCGATTAGGGATGCTTGTTCAATATTCAAAATGTAAAACATGGAGGGTGCTGAACCAGCACTTTGAAAAGTTAATTAAATGCCAGCTTTCTTTTTAGCAGATACTCCATCACTTGCTGATTGCTTTGACTATTTCACAGGATGAAGTTTTTTAACTCTGGATTGAGAAATACTCTTTTCTTGTTCCCTCAAGTGGGAGTAATGTATGACAAAAAACATAACAGGGCTTTTCTGTATCACAATATATCCTGCCCCCCATGAAAGATCTGCCACTGACCTAACTCTATTGGCACACTGTTGCCTGCAAAGCCGCCACAATAAAAGAGAATAATACACAATAATACTGTGAATAAAGTACAATGTACTTAACCTTTGTAGTGGACTCTGGATTCTAATAAAAGGTATTATATTTTAGACAAGCCTGTTGTCATTTTATAAATGTAATAGCCAACAGGTTTCTCATGAGTCACTTCAATTGAAAGAAATACACTTAGCAGCTCCAGTGCAAGAAGCTTGTGATCAGCGCTTCCTATATTATGGACGCAAACTCACCTTCTTAACAAAGCTAGTTTTCCAAAATACATTTAATTAGACCACACGTATAAAGTTGATCCACTGCCCCTTACACACACCCACACACACTTCATTTAAATTCCCACTATTATACTATATAATATATAGTATATGGATAGCTATACTGAAATTAGCTGTCCATAGCTGATAGTGTTCCCTCTTCCTCAGTTAGAAAAATTAGGGAATGAATGCACTAGAATTTATAGGTCTGATTCTTATCTAAAGTATTTAGAAGTTGAAAACCAGATCATCAACTCAAACTTTTCACATGTGAATGGACCATTATAAATATAAACACCACAGATAGAAATGAAGTCAGTTGGCGGGGGGAAATAAAGTGATACATTTTGTGTGTGTGTGTGCACACACGCGCCATGCAAGACAAAGAGAGAAAGAACAATCTAAGACGGTTTTTCTAAGGGATTTTTTTAATATGTCAGAGGATATATTGCTGAAAATAGAAGTCGCTTTCTATGTATACATTGATGCATATACCAATGATGCTCCCACTTTCCCTTTTGGGGTGAGAATGCAGTTATCTGCCATAAGTGCTACTTCCCAGAGGTTAAGTGCTGAAGGGTGAAAGACAGCACTAATGTAGACATCATCTCTGTTAAAATGTTTCTCTCCTATTTAATGGAATACTGTGGAGATTTAATGGAGATAAAATAGCCAGGCTCCAAGAAGAGCAAGGATGCTATATTCATGCAGGATGACAATGTTCAGTGGTTAATTAGACACCGTTAACCTGTTTTAACAGGGGACATAAGTGGGATAAATGTGGGCAAATGCCCTTGACATTTTTTAATGTCCATAGCTCATGGAAGACCCTAGTTACTCTTCCTTGCTGTGATGAGTACACAGCTGAGCACTGGAAGTCAGCGCAGACATTTTGTACAGACATTTGTACAGACATTCAACACAGAATGAATGAATTACATACCTTGTGATGGCATTGGTGGCAGCGGGGGGGGGGAGGGGTGGATAAAGGCAAGGGGATACATTGCATTTTGGGGCATGTATGTTTGCAGTCCATGAGAATATCTTTATTAGGCCAGCCTTTCTCAAGCTGGTGCCCTCAAGCATGCTGGCTGGGAAGGATGGGCTCTGCAGTCCAACACATCGGGAGGGTGCCAGGTTGGGGGAGGCCGGAAACTTATCATACTGAACATTTCAAGATACCACCCTTGTCTTCTCAAAATTTACTTCTTTATCATCCATTTATGTATTTAATTTTTTCTAAATTGTACTATGCTCAGAATAGGAGAGAAATGTACAGTACATATAATATGTATGCCCATTACAGTTTCCAAGCACTATATTTAGAATATAGTCTGATGTATCATATCTACTGGTTATTCAGTGTCTGCTGCCAGCTAGGAAAATGCACGTACGATAAAAAAGGATTGATAAAGAAGAATGATTTCAGTGATGTATGCAGCTTGCTTATTGAATATGTACTAACAAAAGGGAAGGGTATTATACCTTTGGCTGATACATTGCAATTTTGGATGGAAAGGGGTATTCCTGAAAGAGTGGAAAGTTAGAGCTAGAAGCAAAGAAGAAGAAGAAAATGAAGAAAAAAAATATTATACAGCCATGGTCCAGTGGAGGGGTGCACTAAGTGTGTATGTGGTGTGTGTGTATGTAGTGTATCTTGTGTTGTTTCTTTTTAATGTATGAGGTATTTTGTAATCGTATTCTTTGAAAAATGAAACAATAAAAATAAATGCATGTAAACAGTATTGTTTTGGAATCTATTTGTCTTGGCACAGATAAGTCAATCATGTCATCCCATGTAATAAGACACAATCAGGTAGTGCATTTGTTTCAGCGAGACAAAGTGCATGTGTGTGCAGAACAAGTTGAATGACCCATAACATTAAAACCTGAGTGTGCAGCCTATGAGGGGCCCTGAGATTTGGTTAAAAAATAAAAGGTACATCAAGAAGATGGTGCAAATTGAGTTTTTACACAGCAGTCAGTTGTGCTTTCCACTCTTCTACCAGAATAGTATGCAGGGAGGCCACATTCTCTTTCCAGTCTGTCACAACTCTAGTAGACTCTGCTTAACCCTGCCTGCACAATTTACCCACCTCTTAGATGGACAGTTGAATGAATCCTGGTGGGACACCACTCAAATGGTCAGCAGAACAGAAACTGCCAAACTGAAACTGTACTGGGATTTGTGCACATTACTGTGCAAAGTTTGCCCCCTTGTGACCTAAATTAGAAGAGCATGCCTATTTTGTTTCCTCCCTCTTCATAGAATCATACAATTATAGAATCATAGAATGGTAGAGTTGGAAGGGGCCATGAATGGTAGAGTTGGAAGGGGCCTCCTCCCATTGCAAGACACCAGATTGCACCATCCCACTCAGATGGCTGTCCATTTTCTCTTTGAATAGCTCTAGTGTGGGAGAGCCCACCACTTCTCTAGGTAGCTGGTTCCACTGTTTTTCTTACTTCTCTGCTTTTAAAGTCACCATGGCTTGGTAAAAACCATCAGACTACTGTTATACAAGTTAGCATGTAGCAGAAAAATACAAAGAGACCTCATATTTTAAAGATTTCCATCCAACTGCAATATTCAAAGTATCCCTTCAATACAAAATCTGATCTTAATATTTATATCTGATTTCTTATTGTTCAATTTCATTAACAGAGCCACAGCCTGTTACAGCAGACTTCCCCACCTTGGTGCCTTCCACATGTTTTGGGCTGCAATTCCAGGCATTTTTGCTCATTTGCAATGCTGGTCAGGACAGATGAAAATTGAAGTTCAAAGCATCTGGTGGGCACCTGTTGGGGATGGCTTCATTAGAGGCTCTGCAACCAAGAAGTGATTGGAATGCCACCAGAACTGCCTTTCCTCCACCTTCAAGAAATGACTTTCAGCAATATTTCTGAATATTGCTGATTACCCTGAACCCAGCAACAAGT